TTAAATGCTTATGTTAAAAGGGAGTTTTTCCTCTCCACTGTCGCTACAAGCATGCTTAGTGTGAGGGATTGCTGAAGAGTCAATGAGTCGATGCAATCAGCTGGTTTTCCTTAGATAGAAAACTTTGAATCAATCTGACTGGATGATCTGGTTGATCTGGATCTATAAAGGGACCTGAGTGACATGATGTGAATTGGAGCTATAGAAATAAACTGAATAGAATAGTTTTGTTTTTTCCAAGGATCCCCCCCCCCCAAATTGAAGTTATTTGTTTTTATTCTAAACATAATTTATTGTAGATAGTTTGAGCTTTTTTTCACTAAACGTTGTAATAAATGTGGAGGATTTGTTGAAAGCTTCAACAGTTTCATCAGCGTTTCTCTATAAGCTGTGATATTTTCTTCCTGCTTTGAAGGACAGCTTTAAGGAGAAGCAGCGCGGCCAGCGGCTGGAGGAGGAGCTGCGCATGCGGGAGCAGGAGTTGGAGACCACCATGAACAAACAGAAGGAGGTGAGCATCTCAGCGGTGGCTGACGTCTCCCTGTGAGGCGTTTGTTTTCACGGGACTCTTCCTTTCCTTCCAGCTCCAAACCAGAATCCGAACTCTGAATCAGGAGCAGAGCAGCATCAGGGAGCAGAACCGGCAGCTGCGCAGCCTGAACAGCCAGCTGCAGGAGCAGGTGGAGAGCAGCAGAGAGCGGCTGCAGTCTGCGCTGCGTCAGCTCAGCCTGCTGCAGGCCAGCGCCGTCCAGGAGCAGGCGGCCCGGAACAGGTCAGCGACTAGATTAGTCCCGTTTAAACCTTTACTGGACCCGCTTATCTGGATAAAATGTTTAGCTTTGGATAATCTTTCATGTTTAGATTGTTGAGCTCGGCAGGCAGCCGGTTACGTATTATATTGATCTGATTAAACCTGGAGATGAAGGGTTAATAATCAGCAGATCGGTTATTCATAAACTCTCTCCTCCTGTGGGTCACGGCAGAAATGTCATGAAGGTATCGAGAAACATCAAAAAGGAAAAGGAAAGTCTGCTGAGACAGCTGGAAATATTAAGGTACGTTTTATTATTAATCCAACAGATTTTAAAGCTGCACTATCACCCAAATAGTAACACTTTATAATGCCATCAATTTATTTGAATTAAAACTGTGTTAAAGCTAAATGTTTATTCTAGTTGCTTTAAAACTACAAGTTTTTTCTCCTCCTGTCTGAAATCAGTTTAATTAAATTCAGTGAGTTTTTAGCAGACGACAAACGTTTGTTCCTCCGACTCGTTTTAAACAGATTCAACTGTCTGCATTTTTCATTTCCTTCTGTCAAAGAAATAAAGATCTTGGAAAAGCGGATTTATTTCCGCAACGCAAATTTAAATTTGGGAAACTGAATTTTAAAAATCTGAATTCCATAAAGAAAGAAACTTGTAATGTGTGTGAATCTAAACCTGATGGAGAGAAGGAATAATTATGACTCAGAGCTAATATGAAATAAATCACAGCAGGAGCCTTCAGGTCGATCAGGACTCCTTCCTGCAGCCTGGATGCTCCGACTGTTAGCATGCTAACCTAAAGGAGGCTGCATTAGCATGTTAGCTGGTCCTTTCTGAGGGACCCGGTCAGGCAGGTTTTCTGGTATCCCAGAGTTATTAAAGCTGTTATTAATACTTTGACCGTGTGGGAAGGAACCAACTTCTGCTGGTAAAATAAATCTGTCCGATTAGGAAAGAATAAAAATGTGCAGCTGAGGAATGAATCTGCTGATTTTGGAGAAACTCCAGCAGCTCTTGCTTGTGTCTCTAACCCAAAGATGTCTTCCTTCCACTAAACTTTCCTTTGGTCTGCTCGGATGGAAGCAGTTTATTTTACAAACACAGTTTTTAGCATTTTGTGGTTAAAACATATTTTTAAAAGATGGAATTCTCGTCATTGTTTTATTAATGTTGATTTCTAGCCAAGTGTTTCTAATCTCCTTTTAATGTTTTCATTAGGGATATGAACAGAAATCTGCGAGATGAGAAAGATGCTCAGCAGTCGCTTAAGATGGTTAGTCACCGACACTCTGTCCTTTCCCCCTCGCCGTTACCGTATTACCTGAGCGGGGAGCCGTGGAGCAGGCAGGTTTACCCAACCTGAGCCCAGCCCTCCGCCTCCCTCCATCCTCCGGACTAAGCAGCTCTCAGGCAGCTAATAAAGATCTGCTCAATGTTCTGTGGAAACAGTGAAGGATTGTGATGGAACACGTTTAGCATCCTGTTCCAATGTGAAGAAAAATGTTTTTCTTTTATTAAATCCAGTAAATAAACCATCCAGGCTGAATGTCTGTCAGAGGAAACTCTGTTTATTTCATCCACTGTTTCATTTACATTCAAGGAACTGTTTGGATAAGTATTGCTAATAACTTAATTTATCATTTATATATAAAAAAGTGTATTGTTGGAAAAAAAAGATTTCCATGTTAAATTATTTTGCAGCAGAATAAATAAAAGTATTTTTTTTGTCTCCGTAACCTCCTTTTAAATAAAGCTGTTTTTTTTCACTACAAGACATTCATGGTTATTTAATTTGTGTTAAATTTCTTACTGAAAACCAAAATATTAATTTACAAATTATCTACAAAACGAACTGGTTCTGATTTCTTTTACTCCACATAAACCTTTAGAATCCAAAGTCCAGCAAGTCTCTGCAGAAGAGAGGCTCAATTTTAAGCAACTACTTGCTGCAAGACATGAAGCCGCTGAGGAGGTTTGTTCCAATAAATTCTTACGTTTCTCATTTTTACGTCATGAAAAAGCAAAAGATTGAGCTTTTCTCCTTCTGTTGGTTCTGAAGACAGCTGAGCTCATCTGGTGAGTCGGAGCAGACCGATTCATCCGAGGCGCGCCCGCCGTCATGTGAGGTCATAGGTCAACATGTGGAGCCGATGCACATGCAGGTGGGCAGAATCTAAACTCAGAAATCTAAAACTAGAAGCGTAAAAGTGTTAAATTTATTCTGATTTGTAGAGCAAACGGTTGAGCCCACAGCGAGTGTTCAAGGTGGTGTTTCTGGGGAACTCGGGGGTGGGTAAGACCTCCTTCATTCAGCACTACTGCACAGGACACTGCAGCAGTACGGTCACCTCCACCGTGGGTAAGAACTTCCTCCATTATATCACCACAGACATGTTATTGATTGGAATGGTTCAGATCAGGGCTGCAACTAACTTTTAATTAGTAAATGGATCAATCTGATGAATCCATGAATAATCAGACGGCTAAAGGTTTCCTAAAGAAGCTTTTTATGAAACAGGCCGTTTTAAAGTCTCTATAATCCTCTTAACGATTCATTGATTAATGAATTATTTCATTACTTCTATAATGAATCTGATTAATTGATCCAGTTCGGTTTAAATCTCAAGATTTGTTCTGCCTGAATGTCTAAATAATAATCAGCAATAAAGTCACTTATCCAAACTTATCTGTACAATTCAAACAAAATAAACGTAACTTAAGCTTTTAATTTTTATTTCTTTTACTGAAAATCTCAACAGCTCTGGTGAAGAACTACATTAAACTGGTTTTACTGGTTTTTTGCTGACCTACCAACACAAACATAAACGTGTGAACTTTGCTAAACGTAGGTCTGTAGCGATCCGTCTGAAACCTGATCTAGATTAGCTCAGGAATACGTCTATATTTTCAGTTTCCATGAGTTCTGCCCTCCTTTATTCTTTGTCTTTCCTTC